TATTGGTCAAGCTGGTTTTGAACTCCTGACCTCAGGTGATCCACCCTCCTCGACCTCCCAAAGTGCTGGGGTTACAGGCGTGAGCCCCACATGCCCAGCTGGGGATACATTTTAAAGCACAAAAGCGTTTTCCCATGATGCAATCAAACCATCTAGTGTTTCTCAAACATCTACACCCAACTATTCCCATCAGAAGGGAAAACTACCCCATGGAATCTGGATGATAGCTCAAAGCAGCCCACCCAAGCATCACATTTCTTTGCAATATACTTTATAATGTATGCACTCTTGACCATAATGTATGCATGTGTTCATTTAAATAAGAAAAAGACATTTAATCAGAATACTAAACTTTTAATGGCTATAGGTAACATTTCTCAGAATAAAAGAACCAGATGTATGGTTGCCTTAGAAGTCATCTTTAACAACAGAATTCAGATCCATTGTTAGTTCAGTTTCACCTAGTCCCCACACTGGACTCCAGAGTGACATTTCTATGAAAGGTCTCAAACCAACACTTTATCAGAAGTAGCTTTATGCTGCAAAACAAGCTCTGCTTTTCTGCAATTATAACAGAGATGGAATATTTCTCCTAGAATTTTTGAAGTGTCCTTCAGCAGAAAGTATAAGGGTGTGTAGCCTTGAATACCAAGAACTGAAATTTCATTCGGTAGCACTGGGGAATAGACAAGAGAAGCTTAAAATTTACCACAAGCAATAATCAGCCAAAGGAAAATATTCATAAATGAATTATTAGGCATGTAATGTTTTGTATGTACATGTGTTTACTTTTAATACAAAATGGACTAGGTTAAAATAGATGTTCCAATAAGACAGTTTATGTTTCATTTTTCCCTTCAAATACCTCAGGGTTAGAAGTATCATAAGCTGAGACCAGCTCAATTTTTGGTTTGTGGGTTGGTCAGGCCCTGTGCCTGATTTGATTTTCTCTTGAATGGTCTGCAGCCCTGGACCAAGTTGAAGAAGCCATGAGTCTCATGAGAGCCTCAGCTTTTTTCCTTACCTCGTTATGAGATAAACTCATTCCTTAAACATCCTGCTCATTTGATAAAACTTGCCACCCTTCTCCTTTCTACTGCTCCCTAATACTACCTGTAATGTACAGCTCAAATTTTATACAATTTTCCCCTTCCTGTAACACATATTCCAGTGGAATATGTGCAGTATGTGTTACAGGAAGGGGGATCCCGATCCAGACCCCTAGGGAGGGTGCTTGGATCTCGGGCAAGAAAAAATTCAGGGCAAGTATATAAAGCGAAAGCAAGTTTATCAGGAAAGTAAAGGAATAAAGGAATGGCTACTCCATAGAGAGAATGGCCCCAGGGCTGCTGTTTGCCCGTTTTTATGCTTATTTCATGATTATATGCTAAACAAGGGGTGGGATGATGGCACGCGCCTGTAATCCCAGCTACTCCGGAGGCTACCTAAGAATCCCTTGAACCCGAGGCGGAGAAGGTTGCAGTGAGCCAAGATCACGCCACTGCACTCCAGCCTGGAAGACAGCATACCAAGAATCTGTATCCCGCTCCCCCAACCCCCGCCGCCCAAAATAAGAAATCACTGCCACTAAGGAAAACACAGCCAAGATGGGGGAAAATAAAAAATCACTGCCAGTAAGGAAAACACAGCCAAGATATAAGGACATGTAAAATAATGTGATAGATTCTGCAAGAGTTACCAAAGAGTCAGAAAATGGCTAGCATGTTTCTTCCATGCCCTGAAGCAGCCAAGGAAGAGGAAGATATGTGTTGCCAATGCTGGGGTGTTGGTTTAGGCAGATAGATGCTGTGATGCTGGTGGAACCGTTCAACAGGCAGACTTGAGAACCAGCTTTATGGGGAAAGAGAGAGGACTGCTCTGTCATCCTCCGTGGGTCACACCCTGGAGATTCTAAGTTAAAACATTTTGATTTGGGGAGATTTAGAGTTTTGACCTTCAAATGACTGAAAAGCCACCAGGTGAGCCTACGTGTTTCGAGTCTAGAAGTCTGAATATAGATTCAGGACTTACGAGCATACAGAAGGTGGAGCCAAGGGAGAAATTAAACAGGGCACAGAAGTTATTAAAAATATTCTTCGGAAAAAAATCCCCAACAAAACACGATTGTTTCAGCGGAAACCAGGACATTTTCTCAGACTCCCTTACAGAGGGCCCTGATACAGTAATAAACATGTTAACCGTAAGAACCCCAACCAATTTCATAGCGCACTTTACGGTAATTACTCTCAGTATAGAGCGGATAGTCCTCTTGCAAGACCCAATTTGGCAAACTGCAGGCTCCATGTGGGGCCTCCAAAGGACACAGTGGGGCACTAATTCCTGGTTGAGAACAAAGGCCGATTTAGAGGATCTGCAGAAAGGGATGCACAGAACATGCCTCGGTCTTCCCTATGCTTGCAGCAGCCCCTCCATATACGCCGGTTCCTCAAGATCGAAAGTATCAAACAAACAAATTGTTTTAAAACCCAGTACAACAAAAGATAGTAAAAACAAAAACAGTATGACAATTACATAGCATTTGCACTGGGTTAGGTGTCATAAGGTAATTTAGAGACTATTCACAGTACACGGGAGGTTGTGCAGTTACATGCGAATCCTACGCCATTTACTACAAGGGACTTGAGCATCCCGGACTTTGGTGTCGGCGGGAGCCCTGGAGCCAATCAATCCCCCTCCGATACCAAGGGAGAACCGTTTTGCTTCTCCCACCGCGGCTTTGACTGACAGCGTGTCGGGATTCGCTGACCTCCACGAGAAAGCTCGGCAGCGTGCCGAGACGTTTTCCCAGGACCGGATCTCTCCCGGGTGAGCGAAAACAGAGCGGCTCGGTCCAACAAAACAGAGCCTAGGGCCGGGAATTACGGCGAAGCCACCCCCTCCCGCCGTCCCCCGGTGCACAGATCCCCGGCACCGCTGCTCTTGAGGTCGCCTCTCGAGTGTTCGCCTCATCGTCGGAACGGCGCCTCCTGCAAGTTTAAATAAGCAACGCTGGGAATCCGTTCGTCAGGATTAAATGCTGAGCTGGCGCGCTCCTGCCGGTCTCCGGTCTCCGTTTGCTCTTCCTGGGGCTCCCTCCAGACCTTTCTCTTAGCCCCGGTGCAATGCCTTCCGGGCGTCCCCAGACCAGACACAGGCCAAAGCCACCGCAGAATCCGGACGCCGCGGGTTGGGATCTGAATTCTCCCGGGGACTATGGCGTAGTGATGAAGGGGGAAAAAAAAAGGGTGAGAGTGAGAGGGACCTGAGAAGGAAGAAGAGGAAAACAGCAAAGAAATGACGAAATGTCGAGAGGGCGGGGACAATTGAGAACGCTTCCCGCCGGCGCGCTTTCGGTTTTCAATCAGGTCCGATACTGTTGTATATCAGGGGAAGGCGGCCCTCGCCCTGACAGAAGCTGTCTTCCCGGCTGTAGCGATCATGTCTGGCAGAGGAAAGGGCGGAAAAGGCCTCGGCAAAGGGGGCGCTAAGCGCCACCGCAAGGTCTTGAGAGATAACATCCAAGGCATCACCAAGCCGGCGATCCGGCGTCTAGCTCGGCGTGGGGGCGTTAAGCGGATCTCTGGCCTGATTTACGAGGAGACCCGCGGTGTGCTCAAGGTGTTCCTGGAGAACGTGATTCGGGACGCGGTCACCTACACGGAGCACGCCAAGCGCAA